TTAAGAGCATTGCCTGCTCTTCCAAAGGTCCTGAGTTCAATTCCCGGCAACCACATGGTGGCTCACAACCATCTGGAATGAGGTCTGGTGCCCTCTTCTGATCTGCAGACATACACACAGACAGAATATTGTATACATAATAAATAAATAAATATTTAAAAAAAAAAAGAACTTTGATAAACTTAGGGTGGGTGGATCACAGCATTCACTGATGCCCTCCTGATTCTGTTATCTCTTGTCTATTTCTTTCTTACCTTACTCCTCCCTTATGTACAGACAATTAACTTTGGCAGGACCCTGGGACGGTGCCCAAGCACAAGAGATCAACAAATCCCCTGGAATTTGAGACAGTTAAGAACCACCATATGGGTGCTATGAATGAAACTCAGGTCCTCTGGAAGAACAACCAGTGCCCTAATAACTGCTGAGTCATCTCTTAAAGCCTTAGAATATTATTTATATTAAGGACATTTAGTTATTACTTTCTTTTATTTTTCTTTGAGAAATTCTTACTATGTAGCTTTAACTGGCCTCAAATTTGCTATGAAGACCAGATGACTAGCCCTATAATTTCATCTTTTTTGCCTGTGTGTACCAGGCATGGCATCACACATTAAAAACGTACTAAGGGCTACAAAGATTACTCAGTGGTTAATAGAATCTCCTGTTCTTACAGAGGATCACTTTGGTTCCCAGCACCCACATTAATCATGTCATAGCTGCCTTAGGGGAGCTAATGCCTCTTCTAAGACTCCATCATCACAGAAGCATGGCGGGTGATCACACAGAAAACACAGACATTGATACACATAATAAGACATAATCATAGAACAAGGACATATTAGGAAGAGGGGAATCAATGGAAGTGAGTGGAGAGAATAATGGGATGAATACAACCAAAATACAATCAATAATTAAGTAAAAAAGAGTTAGGGAGATAGCTCAAAAGAAACTGGAGTTTGGATTTGAAAATGCATATAAATTCTGGGTGGGCATGTGCCCCCATTTAATTCCAGTGCTCATAAGGAAGAGAAAGACAGGGGATCCCTGGAAAAAGCAGGCTAGCTAGACTAGCCATACTGGTGAATTATAGGCTCAACTGAGACCCTGCTTCAGTGAACATGAAATGACCGAGGAAACCTCCAAACAGACAACCTTGGGACTTCACACATGTGAACATCCATAAACATTCAGACACATCAAATACACATAATAATAAAAAGATACTTAAAAAGAAATAAAATAAAATTTTTTAAAAGATTTGAAGAGCCAGGAAGTGGTGGTGTGCACCTTTAATCCCAGCATCCAAGAGACAGAGGCAGGCAGATCTGTGAGTTTGAGATCAAAGTGAGTTCCAGGACAGGCTCCAAAGCAACACACAGAAACCCTGTCTCAAAAAAACAAAAAAACAAGAGAAAAAAAAAAAAGATTTGAAGAGAGGGCCAGAACGACTGCTAAGTACTGGTTCCTACCCAGAGGATTTAGGTTCACTTCCCAAAAGTCGCACAGACACTCACAAATATCTATAACTATAGTTCCTGGGAATCCAATGACCTCTTCTGGCCTCTCCAAGCACCAGGCACACATGTGGTACACAGACATATATACACACATGCAAGAATTCACTCAGATTCATAAAATAGAATAAACCTCTAAAAAATATTTTTACTACCCATTAAGAAATTTAATTTATTTTTATTCTATGTGCATTGGTGTTTTGCCTACATGTATGCCTGTGTGAGGCTGTCAGATCTTGGAGTTACAGGTGTTCTAAGTTGCCACGTGGGTGCTGGGACTTAAACCCAGGTCCTCTGGAAGAGCAGTCAGTGCTCTTAACCACTGAACCATCTCTCCAGCCCAAGAAAAACGTTTTAAAGAGCTGAAAGTTAAAGCAAACAAATGAACAAGCTGAACAATTCCAGTTCCAAGAGATCTGACATCCACATCGGGCTCCCAAGGGCACTCCAGACACACGATGTACTTACACACATATAGGCAAAACACACACACACATATAAAGTAAAAATAAAATCTTTTAAAAAAAATAAGAATAAAAAATAGAATTTGAAATTAAGTAGATATGAATAAGCACAAGTAATTTTCTCAAAACTTAAGATAGCATAAATATTCAAAAGGACTGTATCCTTCAGTGGTAGATCATTCTCTTCACATATTCAACACCCTGGGTTCAACCCTCAGCACCAGAGGAGAAAATTCTGGCTTGTTACTATTACCTCTACAACTTTTAATGATCGCTTTTTTTTCTCCAACTTCTCTTTCTTCTTCTGTTCCTGTAAGGTATTTTTTAAGAAATGTGACATAAAATATAACACAATTACATCATCATGTATTCATAATAAAAAAGACTTAATAATAATTTTAAAAAGAACTTGTACTTCTAGGCTTTCTAAGATTTCAGGAAACAGATTTACCCTCCTCTGCCACACTAAACTAAAAGCAGACACAATATATTTGACAACAGTTTCCAAAAGGACAGTGAACTGAGGAGAAAACAAAGGCGATGAACCTTCTGACTTGCCAGTCTGCAAAACAGTGAGACACGTCTCCAAAGAATAAACAAACCAACAATAGGTAATTCAGTGTTCAGTTATACTTCTATGTAACCTGAGGATAAATAATGTCATTTTTAAAATGTGATACTTCTCAGGAATAAAATATTTAAATGATCAATACATTATATAAGAAATCTGAAAAATGGAAGACAAGACTGCGTTTCCTCTATTCTTTTATTCAACAACTGCCTGTTGAATGTCTACCTTAATCAGTAAAACTTACACTCTTTTTGTTTGTATAAAGCAATTAATTAATATGCCGCTGCTGAATGTCATCACAATTCGATTCAGTTTAGTTCTGATGCAACATAGCTTTGTCCCAGAGAACCAGATCTTAGAGACTGAGTGCTTAGGTCCCCATACTGTCCGCCTCAACCCTGCTGCCAAATGGAATGTTTAAGTTGTTCAACCTTTGTTTCTGACCATAAAATGAGGTTCCCACAAGTTCCTCTTGCTAGAGCAGCTCACAGAACTCAGGGAAACATTTACTTAAATGTGTAGTCTATTACAAAAAACACTGATGAACAACCAGAGCAGCACAGCAAAAACAAAGAGAGCTTCAGTGCTCTTTCCAAAACCCCATTCTCTAGGGTCCTCCAACTGCTCCATAAAGGAAGCTCTCATGTCACTTTGGAGTTTCATTATGTAGACATGAAGGATTAAAGCATTGACCACAGTCATCAACTAACTTAACCTTGCTTGAAGCTGAGTTAAATCTACACTTCTAGTCCTGCTTCCAGCTTGTTGAGTGACCAAGCCCTAATTCTAGTTAACACACCAGCATACAAAAAGATACCACTCAAAAGGATAATTCAGAGCACTGGCTGCTCTTTCAGAGGTTCTGAGTTCAATTCCCAGCAACTACACGGTGGCTCACAACCTCTGAAATCTGGTGCCCTCTTCTGGCATGCAGGCAGAACGCTGGATACATAATAAATCTTTTAAAAAAAAAAATACCACTCTGAAGATCCCAGAGACTCTAAAAATTATGATAGGAAACAATGATCAAACCAAATATTTATAATACTATAATATAGTGGTTCCATTTATATAACATTCTGGGAAAGCACTACTGATCACAGTGACAGATTCATCATAAGGTTTGATGATGGCCTAAAAAAAATTTTGGAATGGAAATAAATATACATTATTTCATTTGTGCTGGTGATAACACAGGTCTACACATTCATTGATCAAAACTCATCAAATAAGATCTAGAGAGATGGCTCAACCATGAAGACCACTGGCTGCTCTTCAAGGACCCAGGTTCAATTCCCAGCATCCAAATGGTAGCAGCCCACAAGCATCTGGAACTCCACCCAGGAAAGCCAATGTCTTCTTTCTTCTGCTCTTCATGGGCACCAGGGATGCACATGGTGCAGACATCCAAGATACATAAGCCACCATTCACATAAAATAAAATTAATTTTAAAAGCTAAACCATAAACTTGAAATCTCTACATTTTACTATACCTAATTTATATCTCAAAAAGCTATTTTCAAAATGTTTCTAACCTATCATTTATAATTAATCATATATACATACCTCCAACTGCTGTTGTTCCATTTTAGTCAACAAAAATTTTGAGTAGATATTGCTTTTTTCAAGCAAATGCTGAAGTCTGCGGTACCGAATTTCAGTGGACTCTCTATCCCAAGACATTCGAGCCTATCCAAAGAAAAATAATCTATGATACTAAATTTTCTAAAGAGACACATGGATCACTCAAGGCCATTCTTCTACAAAGTAAGTTAGGCACTGGCCTGACTATACAAGACTCTGTCTCAAAACAAAATGAAACAAAGCAATGAAAATAAAAATAGAACAGAATTAGAATAAAAACAATAAACAAAAACCAGAAGAACTCAAGTCACTAATAGGAGGGTGAGGGAGAATAGAGGAAGACAGAAGGGGAGGAATTAACAAATACAATGACACATATAAAAATACCTTATGAAACCTGCATCTCTTTATGCTAATTAAAACAAAACAAACAAAACTTCACTGGCCAGGGTCTACCGCATCTTTTTATAACTAAACTGCCGGTACCCATACCCAGGCATAGTGGCAAATGCCCATAACCCCAGTACTCAGGAGGTAAATAAAGGAAAACAAGAGTTCAAGGATAGCGACTTTTACACAGGGAGGTCCAAGCCAGTCTAAGTTACATGAGATCCTGTCTTAAAAAAAAAAAAAAAATTCAGAAAATTAAAAAAAAAAAAATAACAAGAAAAAAACCCCTGTGCTACATATGATACCCTCTACCACTTGATTCAGTCTACAAGGTCATCACCAAACTCAGTCCCTCAAACTTGGATCAGAATAGTAACAACAAAATAAACTTCTTTCTTATCTGTCTGTGTGCATGCAAGATGTGGGGGCATTGCAGGCCTGGACACCCATTTTTGAAGATCAGAAGACAACTTTGTAAAGTCAGTTCTTTCTTTCTACCTTTGGGCTCTGGGTTAGAGCTCAGGCTGTTGGACTTGTTCACCAAACACTTTACCAGCTGAGCCATCTCACCAGTCCAAACCTCTCTTCAAAATTCAACATGCTCACCAAAGCTACAGAGAAACCCTGTCTTGAAAAACCAAAAAAAAAAAAAATTTAACATGCTTAGCCAGGCGGTGGTGGGGCAAACAAAACAGGGAAAAAGAAAAAAAAAAAAAAGTGGAGGAAATCAGTAGACCTGGATTTCAGCCCAGCCTTTGATTGATGCCAACACATACTCCATCTCTGTCTCTGTCTACTACATTATGACTCTGGGTGTTAAAGATTAATTTTGGCCATCAAGCATAGAGTGAAGGGACATATTTAAAAGGCAAATAAAGATGGCAAAGGAAAGCATTCACCGGTGACACCGAATGAATCTTAATGGTCAAGGCAATCTGAAACGTTACTCAAGATACCTTCCGACCACTCCCCCCACGCCTGCGCCCGCACCAAAACCACAGCTCAGAAACCGATCACTCAAAGCGCAAGCCAAGATTTCCATCTACACACGTACGAAAAAGATAAGGGACCAGGCTGCCCCGAAGTTCACGGAAAGACCAAGCCAGCGGTGAAGGAACGCCCGGGGGGGAGAATCCCGGGTCACGGGGCTTTACCTCTTCTAACATCTTCCGCTCCCTTTCAAGTCCCGCAGCCTCGAGCTGCTCCTCCTCCTCCAGCATGGCTGGGGTAATCAGTGCAGGTTCCGTCGGCTCAGCCATTTCTGGGGCTACGGACCCTAAGGGGACGAGGGATGGGGGGCTTTGAGAACGTGGTCGAAGTTACGACTTCTCAACACCGAAGGTCACGACCCTACTCCCTTCCCCGGTGCACCGCAAGCAACACCGAAGCGTCTGGGTGACGGTGCCCATCTGCCCGGCCCCAGGTCCCGCAGGAGGGTGCACGGGAGACTGGCAACCCTTCCGCGTCGCCCCGCAGGCGCTCGCCTCCTTCCCCCTCAGCCCCGGCCCCCGCTGGCTCCCTCTCCCGCCGTGCGCCGCCGACTCACCGCTGCTGCTTGCGGGCTGCTCCGCAGGCATGGCTGGATAGCCGCCGGGCACCCGGTCGCCTCCTCCGAGCGCCTCCACAGCCGCGCGCTAACTCCCCACAGCCCAACACGCCCAGCGCGCTTCCTCAAGCCCCGGCGCGAGAAAAAACCGCGCGCTTCTCCTTCGCGGGAAAACTCCGGCGTCTCGCGAGACTTCCGGCTCCCCGCCCACTTCGGACCTCGACTCACGAGATTTAGAACAGTTGGTCTTTGCGGGCTCTGTCTCCGCTCTAGGGACGCGTTTACCTTTTACCTGGACCAGAATCTCAGGGAGAGTGGATGTTGCAGGTGCCTGCCTCGAGCTTCTCCCGTGATGGTGGAGAGTCCGCAGAGCGCAGGAGGCCAGAGAGACACTTTTATTTAGTCATGGTTCCGAATTGTTCCGCGGTGTGCGAGACCTTTCCACACACCCTGACGTGATTGAATACCCTTAATCTCTGGTCCTTTCGGTACGAAAACTGAGCTGCAGGTCGAGGTTAGGATGTCAAAAACTGCCAAACTCGCAGGCTCCCCTGCACAGTTGAAATTCACACTTTTTTTTTTTTTTGTAAAATTTATTCCCAAATAACTCTGAGGGTAGTTGGTTTGTAAAAAGAGATAAGAAATCGAGATTATGGCTAATTTAGGATAAGATAAAGGTAACGAGTGATGAACTGACAGAAAGGCAAGACTCTGAAATGGGCTGGAGGTGTAGCTCAGTTGGTATAAGGCTTGCCTAGTTCACGCAGAGTCTTGGGTTAGCCTCAGCACCTCATAAACTGGCTTGGTGTTGCATTCCTGCCATCTCGCGCAGGGCAGGTCCAGGCAGTTTGGTCACTAGCTAGTTCAAAGGCACCCTGAGGGATATGAAACTTTTTAAAAAATATATCCAGAAACTAAATGGAGCACTAATAAAAATGGGCCCTGAAGTGTTTTTCTCGTGGCTGCTTTTTGCTTAGGTTCCAACTCCTTTTCTGCAATCCCTTTCTTTGTTTGTTTGTTTGTTGTTTTTTGAGACAGGATTTCTCTGTGTAACAGCCCTAGCTGTCCTGAAACTAACTCTGTAGACCAGACTGGCCCCAAACTCAGAGGTCCATCTGCTTCTGCCTTGCAAGTGCTGGAATTAAAGGTGTGCCCCACCACCTTCTGCCTGCCAAGTGGCATTTATAAGCCTATCCCCACACCTCTAAACAAGTACACTAAATAAAAATGTAAAATATAAAAAATTAAGAAAATGATTTTACAATACAAAATAACCATCTTCAGAATCCTCTTTTTACAAGCCAGATTATGTATGTATGTATTTGAGACAAGGTCTCATTGTGCAGCCTTAGCTGACCTGGAACTTGCTACCTAGATTATGCTGGCCCTGAACTCAATAGACCCATCTGCCTCTGCCTCCCAAGTGCCAATATATGCTACCATACCTTGACCATAACGTCCCTCCTAATTCTTCAGGAAGAGTAGTTTGATTTGCCCACAAACAAGAGATGGAGCACAATGCAAAGTCATCTGGCTCTCAAAGGACAGACATCCACGCTTGGCCCCACACTATTAGTAAGTGTGTTGCGACATTCATTTTCTGAGCCATCTTTGCTGCTGTGCAGGCCAGATCCGAACAATGGCTAAGAAAAATAGCGTCACCCACTTTCTAGGGCCTTGGTGTAAATGCTCCAGTGCTACAGAGACGGTACAGCAACAAACTAGAGCTGCTAAATCTTTACACATAGGTTACTTAAATTCCAGAACTGGGGACAAGAAAAGGTTAGTGGGAGAATGAGTGGTTCTTTTAGATTGGGTAAATGGATGTCAGGAGAGAAAAAAAAAATGACACAAAATGTCAAAAAGCCTAATCAGTCCAGGGAAAGAATAACTTTGACAGAAACTACAACTTTTCAAAAACACCAAGGCAGAAATAGCTCAGGCAGTATTTGAGTACCACAAAGGCTAATGTGGTAGCTAGAGAAATGGCTCAGCAGTTAGGAGCAGCTATGGCTCCTGCAGAGCACCTGAGGGTCTTTCCCAGCATGCACGCCTATGGCTGCCTATACCTCTAGTTCAGGGGGACTAATGCCCTCTTCTGGCCTCCTTGGCTATCCATAAAGACCACCCACACACTCATAAATCATCTTTTTAAAGACGGCTAATGACAAGTAGAGTTGGTAAGAGGGAATATCACAGGAGATAGATATCCCAGCTGTGACATTGGAATTTTTCTTCTAAAATATTACAAGTTATATTTCTCTACCTTCACAAAATGTCTTAGAAACCTCTTTTTATATGAATACTTCACTATGTACCCAATCAGATTTCATTATCAAACCTAACCACTGCTCACTTTTTTTAAAATTTTTTTTAATATTTATTTATTTATTCTTTCTGTGGTGCAGGCCAGAAGAGGGCACCAGACCTCATTACAGATGGTTGCTGGGAATTGAACTCAGGACCTTTGGAAGAGCAGGCAATGCTCTTAACCTCTGAGCAATCTCTCCAGCCCCACTGCTCACTTTTATACTACTAGGTCTCCTTCAAACAAAGACAGGATCTCCCCAATTTCCCAGTAGTAAAATTTGCAAATCGAGCGTCTGAATTTCCTTTCACTCCCTTATTTTCTCTTCGGGCTAGAACTCCTTGAAGCTTACTCTAGGACTCTTGGATTAACATTCCATTCTCTGGGGCTCCAAGGTGTTCCCTGAATTCTTTCCATTAGTATTCAAATACTTAAATCTCTCTTGGAGGTGGAAGGAGGCTGCAGTTGCTGGAGGAGGAAGAGTTAACTTTTTGGCAGCATCAGTGCCCTACGCCTTTATAGCCTACTGTAGAATTATTTACACTTAGCACACAGCTATAATTCCAGCACTCAGGAATCCGAGATAAGTGGATCTGAGTTCAAAGCCAACCGGTCTACGTGGTAAGTTCCAAGATAGCCAGAGTTACATAGTGAGACTGTCTTTAAATATCAAAACAACAACAAAAGAAATGTTTTACACTAACCTGGGCTTAGTGGCACACACGAGTAATCCTAGCACTCAGAGGAGTCTGAGGTAAGAGGATTGTTAGAATTTGAGATTAGACAAGGCCACCAACTGTTTTTCAGATCAGCCAAGCTACTTAGTGGCTTGCTCCAGTGATTTCAATTTCTTGGAGCCAAAGGCAGGAAGACTGCTGTCTTAAGGCCAGTCTGGTTAACATTAAGGATTCCTAGGCCAGCAAAGGCTAAGTATATGTTACTGGTGTCAGAGTCTGGCCTGGATGTTTCCAGGCTTTTGGCTTCTTCTTAGTCAAAGAACTGAAATAAATGCGGCAGTGCAGCAAGGACTTTACTCAAAACAATGGAAGAGAACAGAATGAAATAATCGCCAAGGCTGACAGTGGGCCAAATGACAGAGGGTACGCAAGGGAGGAGGAGTTTGGTTGCTAAGGAGTGTATTTTGGGTGGCTTCTTTGCTTTGATTAACACGCTTAGATAATATAGATCCCTGCTTGCTTACTATCCTATTCCTAGTGCATCAGATTTTAATTACAGGCACACCCAATTGTGTACAGACATAAGATGGAGGCTAGGAGATGCTTTGAAAACAAAGGTTGCCTTATTGCCCTCCCACCCAAAATCGTTCTAGGCCAACAGGCTCTCCTCGCATCCTACCCACATGACTGTGGCCCAGGAATAGATTGAAGATGCCTGAAATGACATGTTCCACCATTAAAGTGATCACATGACCATTCTGTAGTCATAGAAGAAAGGAGTCATAAATCAAGGTAAGCACCAAACATATTAGTGAGGACATCATGTAGGGAGGTTACAGCAAAATGTTGTAGCAGTAATGGCGACAACCCAGGGTATGGGGTTGTAAACGTTTACCACACCAGAACTGACGTAATTTTTTTTAAACAAATATTTATTTATTTATTATGCATACAATATTCTGTCTGTGTGTATGTCTGCAGGCCAGAAAAGGGCACCAGACCTCATTACAGATGGTTGTGAGCTACCATGTGGTTGCTGGGAATTGAACTCAGGACCTTTGGAAGAGCAGGCAGGTAATGTTCTTAACCACTGAGCCATCTCTCCAGCCCCTGACGTAAATTTTGATAAAGACAATGTGAATAGAAAGACAGCTGGCAAAATGAGAGTGAGGAAGAGGAGGAGACAGAAGACAGAAGAGAGACTGAGACGTTGAGACAGAGATATGAATTGCACCACACCTCTTGGAGGGAGGGAGTGGCTTCCTTTGTAGTAATTTGGAGAAGTTATCTGGTTGGGCTTGGAGGTGAATGCTTAATCCCAGAACTAGACGTAAATGGCAGGTGTATCTTAAATTCGAGGTCACACACCTTTAATCCCAGTAGCCACAATGACAGGCATCTTTAATCCCAGCCCTAGAGAGGAATATAAGACTGGGGGTGGGGGGAGGGGGCTTGTGTGAGAGCTCTCAGACACACAGTCTCCTGAGATTCCGGGAAGCAGGATCGCCATTTCAGACTGAAGTCAAGGTAAGAGCCAGTGACTGGTTGTTTTGCTTTTCAGATCTTCAGGTTGAACCCCAATTTCTGACCCTGAGTTTTTATTAATTGTGCTTCACCAGCATGATCAAATAATACAAATTGGTAACCAAAGTATCACATGACTGGCCCCTAGCTCAATTCCTGATAAAGTTCTTGCTCCCTACTGAAATGAAAGCTCATGAGCCAGGCTGCTATAGTACCCATTGCTCTCAGCATTACTGTCTTCCAAACTCTCACAAGAACAGCCCACCAAACCCTACCTCCAGCATTCGACAGTTTCTGCCTTAAATAGTATAAGTTCCTGCCTAGGAAATGATGTGACTCACAATGAGGCTATGTCTTCCTATATTAATTAACAACAATCCTACAGACATGCCCACAGCCAATCTAACCTAGGCAATTCCTTAATTGAAATTCTTTCCAGGTGATTCTAGGGTCTGTTGACAGTTTAAACTAACCTGATTTCTCACAAGTCTGGGCTCTTGTCTCTACCTGTCACTAGTAAATCTGAAGAAATGACAATTGTGTTGGAAATAGGAATGAAAATGAGCTGTATTGTTATCTGAAGATGGACTGATCACTGATTGCTATATGACACTCCCACATCAGATCACCCCCACCAGCCATCATATTTGAATACTTGGTCTACTGTTGAACTGTTTGTGGAGGATTAGGAGGTGTGACCTTGTTAAAGAAGGGGTATCAGTGGAGGTGGTCTTTGAGGTTTTAAAAGCCTATGCCACTCCTAGTTAGCTAGCTCACTCTTGATGTGTTATTTCCCTCTGTATGCTGTGATTGCCATTAATGATTAAAGAAACTGCCTTGACCAGTTGATAGAGCAGAACTTAGGTAGGCGGGGAAAACTAAATGGCATGCTGGGAGAAAGGAGGCAGAGTCAGGGAGAAGCCATGTAGCCCTGCTGGAGCTGGACAGGACTTTAGCCTGTAAGCCACAGTCACGTGGTGATACACAAATTAATAGGAATGGGTTAAATTAAAATGTAAGAGTTAGCCAAGTCTTTCTTGCTCTCCTCTCTTCCTGGAGCATGCGTGTTCCTGCTTCTCCCCTTTCTTTCTCTTCTCCTTCTTTTTCTACTCTCTCTCTCTCTGCCCTCCTTCTCCCTTTCCTCTAACCTCCACAACCCCCTAAATAAACATTCAACATGTTATAAAAAAAAAAAAAGAGTTAGCCAATAAGAAGCTGGAGCTAATGGGCCAAACAGAGTTTAAAATAATATAGTTCCTGTGTGATTATTTTGGTTCTGGGTGGCCAGGACGAACAAGCAATCTAATATAACACACTCTTTACCTGTCTCTCTCATCTGTCTGTCTGTCTGCCTGTCTGTCTCCTTCTTTACCCACCCTTCTCTTCCATTCCTATAGACCCAGATGTAAGCTCTAATCTACCTTTCCAGCATTGTGCTGACTTCCATGTGGATGCTGAAAACCAAACCTCTCCTCTGCAAGAATAGAAGTACTCTCAACTGCTCACCTACCTCTCCTGCCTGATTTTTATGAGAGATGATATATCGGGATCTAGTTTCCTTCTTCCACATATGGAAGTCCAATTTCCCCAGCACCATTTATTCCAAGAGGCTGCCTGTTTTTCCAGTGTTTGGTGTCTGCTATTGTTTCTAAGTTTTTTAAAAAAGATTTAATTATTATATTACAGTGTTCTGCCTGTATGTGTATTTGCACCTGAAGAAGGCACAAGATCTCATTATAGATGGCTATAAGCTACTATGTGGTTGCTGGGAATTGAACTCAGGATCTCTAAAAGAGCAGCCAGTGCTCTTAACCTCTGAGCCATCTCTCCAGCCTCTGTAAGAGACATACATGGTCTCATGTATTGCAGACTGGCTTTGCCCTTAAATTTCTGATCCTATCCCCATCTCTGAAACGTTGGGTTGGAGATGTACACTAGCACACATGGTTTATGTGGTGCTAGGGACCAAATCTAGGAGTTTCTGCATGTTAAATAAGCAATCTCAACCAAGTAAACCATATTGTCAGCCCCAAAAATATACTTAAAAGAACATATATGTATAGGTGTTTTGCCTGCCTGTATGTAAGTGTATCACATGCATGCAGGGTCCATAGAGGTTAGAAGAGAGTGTTGAATCCTCTAGAATCCAGCAGATTGGAGTTATAGACAGTTGTGAGCCACCATATGGTTCACAGCATGTGGATGCTGATAATCAAACACGGGTCCTCTGGAAGAACTCCCAGTGCTCTTAACCTCCCCTAACACATTTCTGCCAGCTAAATGTAGAACATCTTTCATCCTTTTGAGTTGCCCAGAGTGGTATGCATAGTGAGTTCTTGGCCAGACCTGCCAGGGATACATAGAGAGACCTTGTCTTAAATAAAGAAATAACCTAACAAATGCCTGATGTGTGGGGGGATGTGAGTAATTACACATTACCTGTTTGTGTGGCCCACAGGGAAAGAATATACAGCACACTGTGTCAGTTTCTCTGAAAGGCTCAAAGTACTGACAACCTCAAAAATTCCTTAGAGAAGAAACCTGACCCCCAGAAAAAAAAGTTAGTCTGTTTTTTTCTAGATATTGACTAAGCCTAATAGCACTAAAATAATGAAGACTCGTTCTGTCATAATTCTGCTTACAAGTTTTATTTTCATAGTAATTGTTACTAGTGGTTTTTAGTGACTTTCTTGTATTTACATTTTATATACACATTTATACTTGGAAGGTAAAGAAACTGTACAATAAAAAAGGTAAGAAAAAAATACAGAACATAAGACCACTTCAGGAAACTAATACCTGAAAGTAAAATTAAACCCAAGTCAAGTAATATAAATTCAGAGATTACTGCCAGAGGTTATGTGCCCTTTATGAGGGACACCAATATCAAGGCATAGTCACAGAGTAAAAGTTCATCCTAAAACCTATTAAGACTCTAGAAACTCCTTCAGTATTTTATTAACACTACCAGCTTCACTGAGCCAGCCCCTTTGATAGGAGTTAACTCTTCAGGGTTCCCGAGGCTAGAATGATCAACCCATAGGGTAAAAATATATGGACACCCTCTGGTCCCATATTCCTTAGGCAATTTACTATACCATAAGGAAGAATCTCTGGCTTTTTAGTCTAGAGACTATATATATGTATTGTTCACCACTAACAGAAATGTGTGCTTCTATGTTGTTTCAAACCAAACTGCAACATCAAAACAGTATAAATCTAATCAGTAACCAAACAGTATTTTGTACAGATGTGACCCATAATAATTCAAATGATTTAGGTTAGGTTCAAAAATCAAGTATAATAAATTTAATGCCAGTTTTCCAATGATTAATAATTTATATGAGATGCCATCAAAAAGACTAAGAAAAAAGGTAAAATTACTTTTACTATTATTCCCATCAATTAGAAAATTATGCATAGAGTTTCACAAGTCTTAGACTTAGCTATATAAGATTTCAAATTTCAAACTGAAATTAATAAAATTTGTTTCTATAGATAGATGGATTTTAACTAAAAAAATTCAAGTCTTGTAAGTAGTGTGTTATCTAGAACTCTTAGAATTCATTGCTTTTTTATTCTTACTCTCAAAGTCAAGTCTTCAGTCCACTAAAGTGCAAAAGATCTTTCATTCTACCAGTTAGGTTTTTTTTTTTTTTTTTTTTTTAGTTTTTCGAGACAGGGTTTCTCCGTAGCTTTGGAGCCTCTCCTGGAACTAGCTCTTGTAGACCAGGCTGGCCTAGAACTCACAGAGATCCGCCTGCCTCTGCCTCCCGAGTGCTGGGATTAAAGGCATGCGCCACCACTGCCCGGCTACCAGTTAGTTTTTTAATGTTAAGTTACTACCTAACAATTTGTCAGACAAGAAACAAAAAGGCTAAAATTCTTCTGTAATAGAAACTCCTTAGAGAAAGAATTTCTCTTTAAAAACAAAGGGACACAACACTGTGGGAAACACCATAAACAAAACAAGAAACAATGTCCCACCAACATTTCCAGTTCCAGAGGGTCAGAACTGCCCTAGGCTATGATACGGTAAGCAGGAGTTACAGTGACTTCAATAACATACAATGTAGATGCTTACTATTGGTCTACAATAGCTTCAAACACCCAGAACTGGAGATAATACATGTAGCCTATCTTTTTTGGAGGTTAAAGTAGGATTTAACAATCCTATTCTGACCCCTGAAGTGCGTTTGTGGTAATTGTTAAAAAAAAGAAAAGATATAAAAAAATTGAAGTTTCTGTTGAAGCTATTTTAAAAAAATTATTGCATTTAAAGTATTCACTCCAAATTATGGAGTATGTAAAGGCCATCTAAGCCTCTTCCTCTGAAAAATGGCTCTCCCAGGTACTTTTTTGTTAATACTGTCAATAAATTACGTATTTCATTTCCTTCGGCCATGGAACTTCAACTCAGCGGTTTTCCAGCTCTTGATTCTTCTTTCCACGCTATCAGCACGAAACAGGAAACTTCCCCCAAAATTAGCTTTTGCATTACAGCGTGCCCCTGACTCCAATGTCAGCTCTTCAGAGCAGGACTGCTGTTCTTATCCCCTTCTTTAATGTCCTTCGTTACAGATGCAAAGACCTGCAAATTGTAAGAAACAAAGAGATTTAAATAAGCATGGGCTATAAACACAGAAAGCTCTGTTGAAATATTGTCATTCTCAAGTCCTCACACCATCCCTGTTTAAAATTTCTATTGACAGAGTCTCACATAGCCCAGGCTGGCTCTGACCTGTTACATGCATAGAATGCCTCTAACTGCTGATCCTGTTGCTGCCACCTCAACAGCTGAAATTTCAGGCATATGCTACCCTCTCAGATTTTCTGGGAGTTTTTTGTTTGTTTCTTTGGCTTTTCTTGTTTTTGTTTCTATAGTTTATTAATTCATTGGTTGTGTATGTGAGTATGTGTGCATGCCTTGGTCAGCAGACACCTTGCAGGAGTTGGTTGTCTTCTGCCACATGGGTCCTGGAGATTGAACTCGGGTTGCTACGATCGCCAGCAGGAGCTGTTACTTGTTGAGCATCTCCCCACCTCTCCTTCACTTTACTGAATATAATTAGATCCCAGTTTTCATCAACTGAAAATTACTCTGATATTACTGGGCCAATATTTTTATATTTTATTTCAAGGGCAATTAAACTAAGATCTTTTTTTTGTTTGTTTGTTTGTTTTTGTTTTTTCGAGACAGGGTTTCTCTGTAGCTTTGGAGCCTGTGTCCTGGAACTAGCTTGTGTAGACCAGGCTGGCCTCGAACTCAGAGAGGCTCTGCCTCCTGAGTGTCAGGATTAAAGGCCTGCACCATCACTGCCCCGCTTTAAACTAAAATCTTAAAAGACAGATGTGTTATTCGTGGACTAAATGACAATCCTTACTCTATGTCATTTACCAGGATACGTGTTTCTCCTAACAAGACTAAGCATCTGAAAGCCAGGATCTCTGGATGTGGTTGCACATGCTGTATTCCAGAATAGAAGGATCACAGGTTCAAGGCTGTGTCAGTTTGAATAAGAATGGCCCCCACAGGCACATATATTTGAATGGTCATCCCAGAATACTTGGGACAGATTGGGAGGTATGGCCTTGTTGGAGTAGGTGTGTCACTAGGGGTGGGCTGTGGGGTTTCAAAGGCTCAAGCCAGGCCCAGTATCTCTTTCTTCCTGATGCCTACAGATCCAAATGTAGAATTCTCAGCTACCATGTCTACCTGCATGCTGCCATGCTTTCCACTATGAGGATAATGGACTAAACTTCTAAAACTGTAAGTAAACCCAAATTAAACGCCTTTTATTTTTATGAAAGTTGCCATGGTCTCTTTACAGCAATAGAACACTGACTAAGACAAAGGTCATCTTCAGCTGTACAGTAAGATCAAGTCTAGCCTGGGTTAAATGAGACCTTGACTCAAAACAACAAAAAGCTACTATCATATATTACGTTCTTTCTGCTGCAAGCTTTTAATACACAGCAGATGAGGCTTTTTGGTGGTGCTTCATTTTTACATTCATCCATCCATCCATCCATCCATCCATCCATCCATCTATCTATCTATCTATCTATCTATCTATCTATCTATCTATCTATCTATCTATCTAGGGTATATGTGAGTGTATTAGCATGCATGTGCCATAGTGCATGTGTGCAGTCATCTACATGTGGGACCCAGGAATTAAGCTCAGGTATTTAGCATCAGCATGCATTCGCCACAGTGCATATATGGAGTCATCAACATGTAGGACCAAACGGTATGTGTGAGTGAATTAGCATGCATGTGCCATAGTGCATGTGTGGAATCTTCCATCATGTGGGACCCTGGTATTAAACTCAGGGAGTCATATTGGCAGCAGGAACCTTTACCCTTGAATCATCTTGCCAGTCTCAAAGCAGGTACTTAATACAATTGTCTGTTTGAAATATCAAAGTAACTCCATGACTGCATTGGTGAGTGATTACTGTAGGTGGCAATTCACTAAAATACTACAGGATTTATACAAAATAAAGCTGTAAATTTAAAAAAGAGAAAGCCATTTTAAATCCTTCCATCTCAAAGCCAAGAATTATTTTTTAGTTTAAGACTAACATTTGTGCCGGGCAGTGGTGGCGCACGCCTGTAATCCCAGCACTCGGGAGGCAGAGGCAGACGGATCTCTGGGAGTTCGAGACCAGCCTGGTCTACAAAGGGAGTTCCAGGACAGGCTCCAAAGCCACAGAGAAACCCTGTCTCGAAAAACAAAAACAAAAAAACAAACAACAACAAAAAAAAAGACTAACATTTGTGATACAGATAACTGCTTTACAAAAGTCAATAAATAATTTTAAGTATTAAAAGTTTAAAAAGGGGTGAGGGAGAAGGTAGAGGGAACAGGTGAAGGGGAGGAAGTGGAAATAGATTTGGCATGTAAAATGAGAAAAGATAGTTTTTAAAAATAAATTTTAAAAAAAAGTTAGAAAAAAATACCTGAGTCCATTTTTTGGTGCTATTCTGCATCTGAATGGCTGCAATGCAGCTGAAAAGCTTTTCTGATGTGATATCTTCTGGCAATTTGGTAAGAAATTGTGCTATATGAATAAAGTCCATCTGTAGGAGTATATCTTCATATAGCCGGAGGATCCCCAATCCAGTCCTAAATAAAAATTCCTCTCCATCTCTGCAAAACACATCCCAGACACGACAAGCCAGATCAAGTGGCAGTGACTTGCTGTACAGCGTGAAGATCCTAGAGTCAGGGAGGAGACAGTTACTCACACTCATCAAGATCACTCTGGAAAAAGAAGTGCATAGGGATAAAAGGACAAACAGTGTAATGTCTGTTTTCAAAACTTGATTAGTGATAAGATCAATAAGTAATGACGTTAAGTAAATTTACAACCTTACATGGAGATGAAGTCTGGAATAAAACGGGGTAGAAGAGAATTAATGATAAGAGCCATGGAACTCTGAAACCAGAATGCTTGAGTTTGAATCTCTAATCTCCTACTTTGTTCTACGACAGTAAACATAATGTTTAGTGTTGCTATGCCTCAGATTCCTCATCACAGAAGACTAAAGATATTAATATTACCTATTTTAGGGCTGTCTTGAAATTAAAGTAGTAAAGTCCACTTTCTCATTTTGTTATTGGTTTTTATGTATTTATTGGAGGTTGGGGCAGACAAGTTCTCACTATATAGCCAGGCTCCTGCTTATAACTCATGCTCCTCCTACCTCTGCCTCTCCCAGGGCTAGAACTTCAGGCATGCACTACTATACCCAGATTAATCAAGGGTTTAAAACAGTGTCAGATATATAAAAAATGTTCAAAACTTGAGGTGCAGCTTAATCCTAGAGAAGCTTGCAAGCATGTGCAAGGCTATGTGTTTAATCCTCGGCACTGTACATGTCAACCAAACCAACAACAAGGGAGGGAGGGGAAAAGGGGAGTATGGAGGGAGAACACGAACTAAAGCAATAGTGAGGAAGGTGGGGGGAGAAAGAAAGAGGGAGGGAGAGGGCAGCGAGAGAGAGGAAGCAAACTAGAATATACCAGGGAAGAGAACTGAAAACGGCCCAATGACTAGGAAGACATCCCATTTGGTAAAGGTCATTATCTGCTTATTCATTTTTCTACACCAAAGTTTACAGCTAGCCTAGGGTAGGTGGCAGAGCACCTCCCTAGCATGCAAGCTACCCTGGGCATCATTCCCAGGATAAACTGAATATGGTAGCACAAGCTTGAAACTCTAACCCTTGGGAGGTAGAGTAGGAAGATTAGAATTTCAAGGTCATCCTCAGCTACAAAGGAAGTTTGAACCCAGCCTGGACTATAAGCCCTGTCTCAAAAATAAATAAAGTTCCATAACTACTCCTTACTGTTGACAACTTCATAATCTTCACTTTTAAAAGTTTTTTTTTTAATTTAATGCGTATGCCTGTGTGTATGTCTGCTCATGCAGTGCCTGAGGAGGCCAGAGAAGGGCATCCAATTCCCTTGGATTGGAGTTACAGACACCTTGAGGTTGCTGGAAGTTGAACCTGGATCTTCTGGGACAACAGCCAATGTTCTTAAGCACTAAGCCATCTCTCCCATCCTAAATTCTCCACTTCTTATCAAAATTCACAGTGATACTAAAGTCAACTGCCTATTGCTTACCACACAAACCCTCAAAATTAGAAAGAATATCCTGGAAATAAGAAAATAAATATTAGCATCTAAACAAGGAATTATTCCTCTTTCAGAACTTTGGATAAAGCTTTGAAAAACATCTTATTAAAGAAATATTACCGGGGCTGGAGAGATGGCTCAGTGGTTAAGAGCACCGGCTGTTCTTCAAGAGGTCCTGAGTTCAATTCCCAGCAACCACATGGTGGCTCACAACCATCTGTAATGAGATCTGGCACCCTCCTCTGACATGTGGGCAAACATGGAGGTAGAATGTTGTATACATAATAAATAAATAAATAAATAAATAAATAAATAAATCTTTAAAGAAATATTACCATATATCTTTTCTGTGTTAAGAATAAAGAAATGACAACTATTTTTTTCCCTGAGATATCAGTATATGCTAGGCATTAAATAAAATAATCCACCATTACAATTCACTACATTTCAAGATATTACTACACTCTTTTTTTAAAAAAAATATTTACTTCATGTGTGCATGTGTGTGCAAGCACATGTTTGCCATGGTACATGTGATATCAGAGAACAACTATTGGGAGTTGGCTCTTGTCTTGCACCTTGTTGAGGCAGGGTCTCTATTGCTTCTGCGGCTGTGCTCATTACTCTAAGCTAGCTTCGCAGGGATTCTCCTGTCTCCGCCTCCCGTATCACCACTGGAATGTTGAGATATGTGCCACTGCATCAGGCTTTTTATATAGGTTACACGGGTCAAAATCACATCAGATTGTGTGGCAAGTGCTTCCCCATGCTCAGCCATCTTCCCAGTCCCCTAGTCTTCTCTCTTTCCTCTATTTTGCAAAAGACTTTAATACACACACACACACATACATACATATATATATAAAATTTTTATCTTAAAAATATTTTATTTTATGTCTGCATATATTATATGTGTATATATTGTATAATTATGCATGTGTGCATAATTCTAGTGTGTGTGTGTGTGTGTGTGTGTGTGTGTGTGACCTAACTGCAGTGGAGAAGGGCAGAAGAAGGTGTTAGATCCTCCTATAGTTACAGGCTGTGGAGCTGCTCAAGCATTTCCCCAGTAGGGAAATGAACTCAGGTTCTCTGCAAGAGTAGCATGCACTTTTTTTTTTTTTTAAAGAACTGCATCACCACACCACACAAATCACTCTTAACCACTGAGCGATTTCTATGGTTCTCTCCAGTCTATGTTTTTTGTTTGTTTTGTTTTTCAAGACAGGATTTCTCCTTGTATCCCTGTAACTCAACTTTGTAAATCAGGCTGGCCTTGAAAGAGATCTTCCTGTGTCTGCCTCTGGAGTGCTGGGATTCAAGGCATGTACCACATCTGGCTCCAGTCTGTTTTTAAATATGTCCCTATAAAATGTGGGACTTTTTCTATTTGTAAGGGAAAGGTTCTTTTACACGCATAATCTCATCTATCAGATTTACTATATTTCCTAAAAAACAGAGAAAATTATAGTTTATTTCCTTTTTACTGTTATTTATGTCTGTTAGTGACTTACCAATCTATCAAGTATATATCTGGTGTAAGGCTATATGACTTGAAATGAAGAAATAGTTTGGACAAGTTTTCCTCAAAGAATACTTCAAATGTTGCAAAATACTTCAACATCTATAAACAGGGAATAAAATCAATAAAATTACAAAATAATCTACTACAAAAAGAAAAATCATTAATATTAATAAAAATTTTATTAGCAAGTCCTCTGAGTTGCTTCAAGTTTTCCTAAAACTGCCACTCAATGAAAACTTCATCCTTCCGTGTTTCTTATTCTAAGCTGACATTCAGAGTGCAGGAGCACAGGAGGCAAACAGTCTATCCTAAACGTTCATACCATGCTGTGGTCCACCCGGAAAAAGGCCAACTGGCATGGCTTGTTTAGGAGATTTGCAAAGGCAATGAAGGCGTCTGCTTCTTCCAGGTTGAGAATGAGCACTGCTGCGATGAAGGACATCCCCTGGACCTTTCAAGGGGAAAGGAAGATAAAAATGAATTTAAATAATTCTAGAGTTTAGTCACCCTCTTCAAAATTTACAAACATTAAGAATTTACTGATTTCTCCCCGTCCCGTAAAAGCAAGTACTAACAAACTGTAATAGTTGTGAAATTCCCTAATTTTAATTTATTGTGCATGTGACAGGGTTTAATAAGTTAGAAAAAATTTAAATCAGCCTTTACTTGCTCTATTTCTTCTTAGTCTAAATTCTTTCAAAATTACACATTAATGAAAATTAAGGGATTGTTTTCATGTTATAGCATACAAAGAACTAAGAATAAAAGAGGTCTATGGATAAATTGCTAAAATTCTAAGAAAGAAGTTGTGGGACTTGAAACAGCCTGAACTTGAGGGAACCACAAGAAAAAAATGAAGGAGAAAAAAAATCCCTTAATAAAAAAAAGCTTAAACAAAGAAATGACAGCCCATACAGAATACAACATTTATAATGGAGAAGAAAGACACTTAGAAAAAGGTTCATTTACATTATGAAAGGCCTTACTAAAACCGCTAGTGAGTTATCTATATAGCAGTTACACCAGGACTGGAGAGATGGCTCAGAGGTTAAGAGCACTGGCTGCTCTTCCAGTAGTCCTGAATTCAATTCCCAGCAACCACATGGGGGCTCACAACTATCTGTAATGAGATCTGGTTCTCTCTTCTGGTGTTCAGGCACACATGCAGACAGAACACTATACATAATAAATACTTATTTTTAAAAAAGCAATTATACGTCTCTTTAATTAAAAGCATAGTCAAGAATTCTATAATAGACATACACACAGAGTCCCCTGAGAGTAACTGCAATGATGGATGTGTCTTGTTCCCAAGACAAATATTCTGAAAGGTCTGTCTATAATCACCATTCTAGCTTCTTTTTATGGGGGGGGGGGAGTTGAAATGGTTCCTTTCTGTTGTACTGACTGTCCTCAAACTCACAGAGATCTGCCTGTATCTGCCTTCCGAGTGCTGGGATTAACGGCAAACTTGTATTTTTTTTCAAATATTTATTTATTTATTTGTTATATATACAATATTCTGCCTGTGTGTATGTCTGCCGGGCAGAAGAGGGCACTAGACCTCATTACAGATGGTTGTGAGCCACCATGTGGTTGCCGGGAATTGAACTCAGAACCTTTGGAAGAGCAGGCAATGCTCTTAACCACTGAGCCATCTCTCCAGTCCCTGTATCTGCCTCCTGAGTACTGGATCTAAACCAAGGTGTGCACCACTACTTCTCGGCCATCTCTAGCTTCTTGCATTCCCTTGTAACATACTTCAGATGGATCCCACTCACTAGTATTAACATTGCACTGATCCATTCTTTCTTTTCTTGGGGGTGAAAGCAATCTCATAGCAATCCCCCTGTCTCAGGCTACTAAGAGGATTACAGGGATGAGACATCACACTGTTTTCAATAATTTTTTTTATCTATTCCTATTTCTCTGGAAATATACAAATTAATATAAAACAGAACAAAGCTGTACCAGGCAATGGAATCTCTACAGTTCTTTAAATGAAAGGAGAGAAGATGAAAGTTCAATAACTTCTAGTTAAACACTGGACACTCAAATTTTCTTTGTTTCTTCCCCAAATCCAACATGACAGTAAAGGGAAATGTAAATATTACCTTGGGAGGACAGAGAGAATGGAAAAGGTTACAAACCGTGTAAATGATGGAAACATCATCTTAGCAGTTCTAACTAAAACAAGTGGAAATGCTGAAACAAAGGTCTGCAGAAGAAAAAGCCAACAGTCGTCGAGCCAGAGAATCCTGTCTGGCTCAAGAACTGAAGCTGGGAGACATTCTCAAGTTGAAGAGTAGGGCGAAAACGCAGAGCTGGTTCAGTCTACTAAGTGAGAAATTTTCCTACCCTTATCCTGTATCGACAGGTGACTTGTCTTCCCCTAATATAGCAGAATATGCAAAGAATTTATTCAATAGAGGAACAGCCACAGAGAAACGATGATTCGGGAGACAAGCCAAAGCAATCACTGACAGCAGAGGTGTTAACAGGCAGCCAGTTTTATTCTCGATAGTTGGTAAGAGATGGAAAAGCTTCCTCTTCAGGTAAACCAATAAGCTCAAAAGATAAAGCTACAGATAATGTGTCCATAAATATCTAATACAACATAGGAAGTCTTGATAGGTACAGATAAAATGTTTATATGCAAAAATCAGACTGAAACAAATACTTACATAACCAACATCAGGTCTGTAACATGTATATGCCCCTAAGATACTATGTAAAACATCATGATATGGACCACCCTTAGGAAAGAGGAATAAAATTTGAAATTGTAAGTATCTCTAGGTTAATGCTCATGAAATATTAAAAACTGCAAAACTAAAATTAAAAAAACTGCAGCATTCTCTAACCAGTTTTAGAATACTTAATCATTATAAAAATATTCTACATGCATTTATCAAGATGTTTTCAGAATTAATAAAAGTTTGATCTTAAATAATAAGTCAAATATACTCACTTGAATACAACTTATAATTTACAAACAATTTTAAATACTTCTAAGGTATAACATGACAATACAGATTATTGTTCTATTTTTATCTATACACACATGAAGACAGAAGCCAGGGCCTTGCACACGCATGCACATGTTCTTATACTGAGCTCATTTCACTCTGTGTAATTTCAGAAGAAATAAAAGTGCCCAGGCATGAAGCACACAACTTTAATGCCAACAAAGCAGGTGCCACTATGAGTCTGAGGTCAATGTGATCTACATAGTGAGTTCCAAGACAACTGAGATTACATAGTAAGACACTGTCTTTAAAAAACAAAAAGTCAGCCAGATATACTGAGTTGTGTCAGTAATTTTAATAGCAATAGTAATTTCTTTTCTTTACTCCTCCCCCTTTGCTTTTTTTGTTTGTTTGTTTGTTTTTGTTTTTGTTTTTTCCCTGTAGCTTTGGAGCCTGTCCTGGAACTAGCTCTTGTAGACCAGGCTGGCCTTGAACTCACAGAGATCCGCCTGCCTCTGCCTCGGAGTGCTGGGATTAAAGGCACCACCACAGCCAGGCTCCCTTTTGTTTTTTTGAGACAAGGTTTCTCTGTGTATCTTTGGTAGTCCTGAAACTCACACTGCAGACTAGGCTGGGCTCAAACTCCCAAGTGCTGAATTAAAGGCGTGAGCCACCACACTCAGCTCCAATAGGCCTTTTTAAAATCTCTCTATATAGGTTTTCTGCCTGCATGTATATCTGTGGACAATGTGTGTGCATGATGTCCATGGAGACAGAAGAGAGTGTCAGATACCCCGGAATTAGAATTACAGAGAACTGTGATCTGCCACAAAGATGCCAGGAATAAAATCTGAGTCTTCTAGAAGAGCAAACAATCTTAACTGTGGGGTCTTCTCTCCAGTTCCAGTGTTTTTTTCATTTATTTACTTATTGTGCATATGTGTAGGTACAGACATGTCAGGAATTGGTTCTCTCCTTCCAACTATGTGGGTTCCTAAGATCAAACTCAAGTTGTCAGGCTTGGCAGCAAGCACCTTTACCTGCAGATCCATCTCACTGGTACCAAAAGTAAAAATGTTATCAACTCATAGCCTGTATTATATGTAAACTATTTCCTTGGATTTTATATTTTTTATTAAATTTATTTATTTATTTATTTATTTATTTATTTATTTATTATGTATACAGCATTCTGCCTGCATGTATGCCTGCACACCAGAAGAGGGCACCAGATTTCATCATAGATGGTTGTGAGCCACCATGTGGTTGCTGGGAATTGAACTCAGGACCTCTGGAAGAGCAGCCAGTGCTCTTAACCTCTGAGCCATCTCTCCAGCCCTTTCCTTGGATTTTAATATTAAGAATTAAAGATAGACAGTTATTCCTGTAAAAAAATAAATATAAAAGTAAACTATTTCTTCCTAGTTCAGTGGTAATTCTAAACAACTTGGAACCAACGTATTGTATTTTAACAGTTTGTCAGGTAAATCCATTAATTCAAACATAAAAATTAACTATAACAAAAACGTAAGTTCTACCACATAATAAATATGTGCTATGATAACTACAATGTGTTTTATTCATAGAAAACAAGTGCTATAATTTTTGTTAGTTTTACATTTTTATATAAAGACTCACATTATTTTTAGTTTTTAAAAATTTATTTTTTTATGCATATGAGTGTTTTATCTGTATATATATGCCTGGTGCCATGGATGTCAGAAGAGGGAGTCTGATGCCCTGAACTGAGTTAGAGATGGTTGTAGGCTAGAAACTGAACCCAGGTCCTTCTCTTAACCATGGAGCCATTTCTCCATTCCTGCTAGAAAGAAAGCTTCTTTTGTTTTATTAAAGCAAGATGTCACTATGTAGCTGCAGGCTGAGATTCACTTGCCTCTGCCTTCTGAGTGCTGGGATTAAACCCATCTACCACCATGCCTGGCTTCTTCTCAAATTTTAAAAATATTTATTTCTCTAAGAAAATAATACCTGGGGACTGGAGAGATGGCTCAATGGTTAAGAGCACTGGCTGCTCTTCCAGAGGACCCAAGTTCAATTCCTAGCACCCACATGGTTCACAACTGTCTGTAACTCCAGTTCCAGGGGATCCAACATCCTCACACAGACATACATGCATGTAAAACATCAATGCATGTAAAATAAAAATAAATAAATATTATAGAAATAATAATATGTGGGCTGGCATGGTAACTCATGTCTTCAATCCCAGCATTTGGAGGGCAAAGGCAGGTGAATCCTGTGACTTCTATACCAGCCTGCTCTATATGGGATACATAGTGAGACTCTGTATCAAAAAAACTAAAATAAAAAATAGTGCTTATTGATTTACAGAATTTGTCCCATTGAGTATTGAAAGAATAAAATAAAACAGCTGTTAAAAACTGACTAGAAAACCTCACCTTCTGAAAGATGTAGAGAGATGGAAATGTACGGGATATGTCCAACTTAATTAATTCCAGGCTAGCCTCTCGGTCAGCAACAGATATACCTGTATTACCAAAGAAATACATTTAAGCAGAGGCCAATCACATTGCCTATATGTTAACATAGTAGAAAAGCTGAATAATCAAGGATGTGCAAGAACACTGAATAGTCTTTGTTAGAATTTAGGACTTAGCCTCTTCCCCCACCCCCAGCAGTGTTCTTTTCTTCTTTGTCTGGTTTTGAGACAGGTCTCATTATATTGTTCCAGCTGTCCTGGAACTCACTATGGTCACCCAGCTGGCCTCAAATTCATAGCCATCCTCCTGTCTCTGCTTCTCAAGTGCTGGCATGCATCTTGCCTAGCTAGTTTTCAACTTTCGTATTTTGTGTGGGGAATTTGAGACAGGCTCTCACATAGCCTAGGCTAGCTTCAACCTTCACTTCCCCATGTAGACTTGAATTCCTAGTCCTCTGTCCTGTACCCTCCTGAGTGCTGGTATTACGGCACGTGCCACTATACCTAGTTTGTGTGGTGCTGGGGTTAAACACAGGCCCTCGTGTATGCTAGGCAGGCACTGTCTCTGAGCTACATCTTCAGTCCTCTTTCCCTTCTGAGGGTCTCACTCTGTAACCCAGGCTAACCTCAAACTCATATGAGTACTTCTGCCTCAGCCTTATAAGTGCTGGGATTACAGACCACCAACCACAGACAAGAAAACATGGTGTCTACTTCTTCTCTTTCTCCCTCTGGCTGCACCTTGGTTGGTTCTCTCCTATCATAAGGGAGCTATGAATCACACTCATCCTTAGATTCGGCAGTACATGCCTTTTCCACTAAGCCGTCTTGCCAGCCCTGGCATAATTCTTTATTACATTCAATTAACTCATTGTGAAGTACAATTTGTTTTGTAAAGGTTCTCATGTCCAGGCTACACAGCTGAAAATGACCCTGAACCCAATCCTCCTGCCTCCACCCCCTAAAGTGTAGGGATAAAGGTGTGTTACCCTTACTCTCAGACACATGCCATTTTACTTTATATATGTTGTTTTTTTCATGGCTCTGAGCAATTGTTCTTCAACCACGGAGTTTCAGTTTTAGGTATTTTTTTGTTTGCTTGATTTTCTTTTGGTTTGTTTGTTTGTTTCTCTGTGTAACAGCCCTAGCTGTCCTGGAACTCACTTTGTCGACTAGGCTGGCCTTAAACTCACAGAGATCTGCCTGCCTCTGCCTCCTGGATGCTCAGATTAAAGGTATGCACCACCGCCACCTGTCCCTTGTGTTGCTGATGTTGACATTTCCAATCTTAATTTGTATAATTTTAGCACTTCATAAAAACTGACCCAGGGATGGGGATATACGAATATACACCTGTAATCCCAGTCCTCTGGAAACAGAGGCAGCAAGTTCAAGGCTAGACTGGGCTATAAATGAATATATCTCAAATAATAATAATAAATAAATGAAAAGAATAATGCAACAGCTGAGATTCTGCTAATTTAAAATTTTTTAAAATTATTTATTTATTATGTATACAATATTCTGTCTGTGTGTATGCCTGCAGGCCAGAAGAGGGCACCAGACCTCATTACAGATGGTTGTGAGCCACCATGTGGTTGCTGGGAATTGAACTCAGGACCTTTGGAAGAGCAGGCAATGCTCTTAACCGCTGAGCCATCTCTCCAACCCGCTAATTTAAAATTTTACATATCTTCACTCCCTTTGCATTTGCAGTTCCTCACAAACAGCTATAATAGCTGACTGATCTCAACATGATTCCTCATGGCCCTCAAAATCAAGTCTTCTCTCTGACCACTTACTAATATTTCCCTTTCCTAATAGACAACCACTATGAGATAAATACTATTTCTTTATTGAAAGATACATTTTGGAGTTTTACTTACAGGCAAGAAAGAGTTTGCTTTCCTTTTTTATTTATTTAAAATTTTCAGGCAGGGTTTCTCCATACAACAGCCCTGGCTATCCTGAAACTTGTTTTGTAGACTAGGCTGGTCTCGAACTTACAGAGACCTACCAGCTTGCCTCTGCTGGGATTAAAGGTGTGTACCACTATGTCCAGTGAGTTTGCTTTCTGCATAGTAGATATAACACAAAAAAAGGACAAAAGGAAGTAAGGAGGAAGAAAGGGAGGGAGGGAGGGAGGGAGGGAGGGAGGGAGGGAGGGAGGGAGGGAGGGAGGGAGGGGGGGAGGGGGAGGGAGGGAGGGAGGGAGGGAGGGAGGGAGGAAGGAAGGAGGGAAGGAAGGAAGGAAGAAAAAGGAGGTTGGGAATATAGCTTAGTTGGAAGAATTCGTGCTCAGCATGTATAAAGGCCTGGGTTCAATCCCCAGCATCAACATATGTCCACAACATATATCCATAGGACATAGTGGCTCACACAGATAATCTTAGAACTCGGGAGATAGAGACAGGACATCAGAAGTTCAGTGTAATCCTCAGCTATACAGTGACTTCAAGGCCAGACTGAACTGAATGAGAACCTATCTAAAAAAAAGAATTAGGAAAATGATTCTCCATTATCAGACTACAAAAGATAAATAAATTTGCCTAAATTTAATAAACTGATACAAGGAAAAATTCTTCAAAATGATTAAGAAAACTAACTGGCAAGGCAGAGAGAAGTAAGGGTGGGAGTTATGGTTGAATTAAATGAACAATGAGTAAGGCAAATCCCAGTAAGAACTATATATGATTTACTAAGGACTAAGTTCAATGGATGAGGAAAGATGATATCAGAGAGTGAAAAACTTGAGTCTTTATTAACAACTTGGTCTGAAAACACTTGATTCGTCACTGGATCAAACAGACCTGACTTATAGCTCAGCCTCTTGCTTCTAACTCACTAACGACTCTGAGCCTGTTTCCCTTTCCACAGCTCGGAATTCTATCATCCACTGAAATGAGGTGCTGTACTTAAATCTGGTTTATGATATAAAATCACAGTGCTATACTCAGGACCTGGATTTTGAAATTCCCATTTGGAAACCCTCATACCTTCAACGTCACTATCAGAACTGGTTTCACTGAAGCTCTTCCACCGTTCTCTTGCTCTTGAAAGAAAGATTTCATACAGTTCTGGGGAGAAAAACAAAAATTCGTAAATAATACAAAAGAAATAAATTCACATTTTTATTTTCACTATAAGCAGGTATCAAAAATGTGATAAAGAGTGGGGGTAGCACAACCCTTTAATCCCAGCACGCAGGAGGCAGAGACAGGTGGATCTCTGTGAGTTCAAGGCCTGCCTGGTCTACAGAGTGAGTTCCAGCACAGGCTCCAGAGCTACACAGAAACCCTGTTTCAAAATACAAACAAACAAACAAAATGTGGTAAACTGAAGCAAACTCCCTTTATCAGGATTCTTTATGATGTGACACAGGAGTAAGGTCATCCTGGGGTCTCCTGCCAACTCCAGGAATGGAGGGGTGCTGCTCAACAGCCAAACTGTCCAGGAGCAGCTAAAACTTGAGGAGTCAGACCCAGACTGCATTCCTACTCTGCCAATTATTACCTCTAGGATTTCAAGAAACTTACTTAACTACTCTGGAACTTGATCTTTTCATCTGTAAATTGGAGAAAATAATACCCCAGACCTTGTTCAAGACCAGCCTGGTCTACAAGAGCTACTTCCAGGACAGACTCCAAAGCTACAGAGAAGCCCTGTCTCGAAAAACCAAAACCAAAAACCAAAACCAAAACAAAACAAAACAAAAAAACACAGACCTTTTTATTTCTTTTTAACACAATATTCCAATGTATGACGACTATAACAAGTATTCTTATATTGTCAAGACTCGGATTTTAAAAGTAACTGACTACATATATTTCAAACATACTTTATAATTCGATTTCCCTTTCTATTTACTAATCATTATTACATATTACTTGAAAATAAAATTTAAAAGAAGTAAAAAGTTAAAAATACTTATGCCCAAATCCATGAATGATTCGGTAGAAGAGGTAACTGCAGTTTAAAATTTTATGCATACAATTGCTTGAGGCTGTCAGTTACCAACTGCATCGATTTTTTAAAAGTTTCAAACCATTTACATGTCAGCCTCCTTTACCCAGCTTTAAGCTATCCTGGAAGAAGAAAGGGCTCCAGCTGACAAATCATTCACATTAGGAAATCACAAAATTGATCTAGTAAGAAAAATGTGGGAACTAATTTTAAAAAATCTAAAAGGTAACTTTCCCAAGAAGATTTATAATTAATATCCCCAGTGAAGAGACCTTTGTCTCAGTTTCACATGAATCCAAAAGGGAAAGGGGAGGCAGGATTAAAGCCAGGACAAGGATGGTGTGAAAGGAGAACACTCTCATTTCAGGGTCTGCTCTCAGATTCTAGGAAAATGATGATACACAGTGGAACCAGATGTGAACCTACCTAGCTTTACAGACCGTACTCTTAGCTGATATTCTCTATTGTTTTAAATTTCATGATTAAAACAAATACAAATAAGGGGTCAATGATTAATAAATAATACACCTGTGCCACCTAGGTCCTCTGCAAGGAAGACAACTGTTCTTAACTAAGCCTTCTCTCCAGCGCCAACTTTTCTTTTCCTTTCTTCTTTTTCTTTTTTTTTTTTTTTCCCGAGACAGGGTTTCTCTGTGTATTCCTGGCTGTCCTGGAACTCACTCTATAGATCAGGATGGCCACAAACTCACAGAGATCCCCTTGCCTCTGCTTGCTGAGTGCTGGGATGAAACAGCTGGACCACCACAGCCTGGTAAGTTTTTGTTTTTAATATAAAATAAAATGAACATGCTGTGTGGCTCTCTTAATAAGAGCCTACACCTATGTTCTGAGTGTCTTAATTTTTTCCTCAGCACCTTTCTCTAACCCTTGGGCCTAATCTACATTAAGATATCTTAATTAACTCCATTTCTATTTTTTTTAATGTTCATTACATGGTTTTTTTAAATTTTATTTTATTGAGACAGGGTCTCACTGTGTGACCCTGACTAGCCTGGAACTTACTGTGTAGACTAGCCTTGCCTCAGACTCAAAGATCCTCCTGCTTCTGCCTCTGGTGAAAAATCAACTTTTTGTTTTTTTCAAGACAGGGTTTCTGTGTAGCTCTAGAGCCTGTCCTGGAACTTGTTCTGTAGAGCAGGCTGGTCTCAAACTCACAGAGATCCACCTGCCTGTCCACCTGCCTGTCTCCCGAGTGCTGGATTAAAGGCGTGAGCCACCACCACCGGGTGAAAAATCAACTTTTAAAAATCAAGTAACTGTAATATATACAGTTGATATCACTGTAATGATTAAAAATGGGCATTTGGCTAGGCAATGGTGACACACTCCTTTAATCCCAGCACTCGGGAGGCAGGCAGAGTGTAGATCTAGTTCCAGGATGGCCAAGGCTACACAGTGAAACCCTGTCTCAAAAAACAAACAAACAAAACCCACAGGCATTTGGATTTTTATGATTTTATCCAATTTCGCTTAATGTCAGCTACAGCAAAGAACATCCTTGTCAAAAAACTTTTGAGCCCAATTCTATGTATTGCCTTCTAGTAGATTCTTAAAGCTAAAGTAAATAGATCAGTGATTTCTTTTTTAACTAAAATGTACTTATTATTATAGGGGCAACATGTGTCCTGGGCAAGCGTGGAGGCCAGAGACAGACAGCTGTGTGGAGTGGGTTCTCTTTCCACTTCCCAGGGGTCAAAATCAGGTCATCAGGTTTGCACTGCACCCTTTGACTTAAGCAATCTCATGACCCATACAGGTTTCATTTTTTTTAAAGATATTTTGGAAATACTTCTAAATTATTTTCAGTTATACCCTGTAAATATTTCACTTTACTTTAATTTTTTAGACTGTGAGACTAAAAACAGTCTAAGTGGTTTGATACTGCTTTAGCATGTTTGTTGATGTGGCCAGGACAGTGAGAATATATACAGAGAATATGTACAGTATATAGTACAGCCACAGTGTGCTGACAGTAAGATCAGGACTAGTTTGGGCAGCATTTAAAGTTTATATTATTGTTTATTTTTCAATAAATATTAAATATATACTTAAAAATAACAATGTTGCCACTATATTCTCTTTTACTCCCTTTTTCCTTTCTTTCTTTTTTTCTGTTTTTTTTTCTTTTTTTCTTTTCTTTTTGAGAAAATGTTCCATGTAGCCCAATCTGGTCTTGAACTCACTAAGTAGTATATGAGTTTGTGGTCCTATTGTCTCCACTTTCTGAGCACTAGGATTACAGGTATACCTGGTTTATGCGGTGCTGGGGACCAAACCATATTCATAGTAGGTAATCACTTTACAGAGTTATTCCCCCAACCATACAATATATTACTTCTACTATTAAGAGACTGAAGTCTCCAAAGAGAGAGAAATGGAAGTCTCTTATGGTATTATAGTTAACTGTCTACCTATATAGGATTAACACTATATTAACACTGATATTTTGCTAGAAAAAAATTTTTGAGTCCATCTCAGGTAGCCCTTCAACTATGTAAACGGAATGATCTTAAACTTCTGATCCTCCTGTTTCTATCTCGTGTGCTGAGATTACACTGATAGAATTACAGGCATGTGTCATGCCCACTTCTTAAAAAAATTATTTTGTTTGGTATTATCCTAATTCTATTTAAACTTTTTCTTTAACTATCAAAATGACTCTAGCATTTTAATACTTGTCAAGGTTTTAAGAGACTTAAGGCAATTTCTTGAAAGTCTCTTTTTTTCTAAACTTTATCATCATCATCATTATTATCAGGTTCTATAGACACTGTAGCCTAGTCTGGCCTACAACCCACTGTGGAGCCCCAGCAGCCTCAAAACTGTAGCAAAACTGTCGCAGCCTCCTAAGCGCTAAAGGATGGAGCTATCAAGCTTTACAAATAAAATCTAAACAATAGAACGCAACAAAATCTTAGTGAAACCCATGATTTTGTTAACTTACAACATTAGGAAAAAATACTCAAACTCTAAATAAAAGGACTGGTTTGGATACACATCCAGCAGGGAAAAAAATCAAATTAAGTTCCCTCAGTACATTGTTTACTGTCTGAACACAGATGGAATCAGTCTGTCCAGGTGCTAAACTAGCATCTGTGTGTACTTACTCTTCACTACACAGACTCTCATGAGCTTTACATCAACTATATTTGTAGTATTTTATGCCAAGAACACTACTGTGATAGCTGTAAAGTAGAGGAAAAAGCCCGCAAATCTTACATATATAATGATATATAAAAACTATTACAAAGTTTGGGAGGGCATGAGGCATGCTCTGAAAGTGACATATATGGTAGTGTCTTTTAAATGACAACTCTAACTAACATGATTTATAAAACTCTGAAGATAATAATTTGTGTGTGTGGGAATAACTGAATATAGAATACAAACCAGGAGTGATATTTAGTTCATTTCCTACAGCTAGACTCCAAACTTTCCCACGAACACTAGGGGGCAATCCCTGCCACCACAATTCTCGAACTCTTCTTGTACTACGCCTAGAATTAAAGGAGGAGAAAAGAAGGAAAAAGTTACTTTTTATTCCAAAAATACTAGTTGCATACTGGTTTACCTACGGCCAAGTCAGCAGATGACTTTTAAGACTTTTAAGAGGTACATATGTAATGCATTCTTTCCTTTGAGCTCATGCCTGAGGACTGTGAAAGCCTCACAGATGGACTGCGGAGAATTAAAGGGAATGGCCCCAGACAGATGTTACTTATTTAAGATATAATCACAAAATCAGAACCATATGGAAAATTATTAAAAATAAAAAGGACATAAAATGAACTACCAGTTCAGTACCAAAACTAAAATCACAAAGAACCTACTATAGGTGAGGCCTGGATGAGCCCCTAGTCTTTAAGGAGCAGGGGTTCACTTGGATTCAAATCTAGTTGAGCCACTCATAGTATAACCTTGAGCAAAACACTTAGCTTCTCCAACCATGAGCTAGATAACCTTGAGTAAGATAAATGTGAGTAAAAATATAACTGCCTTATAGAAGTATTAAGACTCAAATGTAACTACTTAACATAGACAATAGAATAGTTTCTTTATCTGCAGGGAATATATTCTAAACTCCAAGTATCAAACTCTAGATATTTTTCTTATACAAATGTAACTATGTTAAAGTCGAATTTGTAATTTAGACGCAATAAGAGATGAACAATAGCAAACAATAAAAGGATATACTATAATAAATGTTATATAAAATAGGGTACTTCTATGTAAAGGAACTCCTTTACAGCTTCTCTTTGACAAATGTGATCACCAGGATCCCTACTGTTACATAAGTAAAAGAGTTACTTAACAGAAGCTCTGCAATCTATGACAGCAGCTCAGGTAACTGAAGTGTCACTGAGTGAGTAATGGACAGGTCTTGTATACCACATGGAGATGTTGAACAAAGGATGATTTATGGCCAGGACAAAGTAGTGCAGAATAGATTCACTGAGGTTCTCAGAAAAATATACAATTTAAACTTCTGAGTTTTAATTTCTTTTTTTTAATGTATTTATTTATTTTTATTATGTATACAATTGTCTGTGTGTATGTCTATAGACCAGAAGAGGGCACCAGACCTCATTACAGATGGTTGTGAGCCACCATGTGGTTGCCAGGAATTGAACTCAGAACCTTTGGAAGAGCAGGCAATGCTCTTAACCACTGAGCCATCTCTCCAGCCCCCTGAGTTTTAATTTCTAGAATTTTCTATTTATATTCAGTTAGTTAATTTTCTACTTTTAGACCACAGGTAACCAAATTTTTCCAAATAAGAGTATAGATAAGTGGAACTACTGTGTCTGTCACATTTCCAATATTTAACAAATTGTCAATGTTACATCCTACATGCATTATAGAAGTCCAGAGGGAAGAGAAAACATATGTAGAAATATTGTCAAAAAGGAAAAGATCAAAAAGGTGAAGGGAAAAAAAGGCAAGAGGAATATCTGCCTTAAAGTATCACAGAACTTTCATAGGGGAAAGACTGTGTTTCACTTATTTTCTCACTTAAGAGAACAGCATTTAAAAATACCTTTTATTGTTTTTAATTTTCTTTCTTTTCTTAAGTATCTATTTATTTATAGATGCTGTCTCTCTAGGTAGTTCTAGCTGGTCTGGAACTCACTATATCACACAGGATGGCACTGAATTCATGGTAATCCTCCTGTCTGAGAATCCAGATTACTGGGATTACAGGCATATACCGTCATACTCAACTTTAGCAACACTTTTAACATCTGATAAATGTACCTTATATTTTTCTATTTAATGAGCTCTTTCAATAATGAATCTCTTACAATTAGTGTTATATTAGAATTAAGAAAAATGGTAATTGAGAAGACTAAAAGTTTCCTGAGTCAGTTCCTATTCCATGGGTTCCAGAGGACAAGTAAGATTTTAACAGCACAGAGGATGGTCAGTAAGAAGAGGATGCATTAGAGACAGGAGTTCATGAAGGGTTAGAGATAAACACAAGGCGATTCAGGCAATGGTTAATAGTAAAATTTAGCTACAGCATAAGATACATGCTGAGAAGTGATAATATAGACTTGGAAAAGATGAAATATTTGGAGACACACTAAACTTCTGGAAAATCTGCTTACTTACATCACTTCCCAATTGGGCAGTATCTCATTGATCCAAATTACCATTGCACTTGCAATGCTTTCTTCCTGCTTAAATCGTTCTTTCATTATTCTTTTTCTTTTATGTGCTTCTTTAATTTCTGTTTTGAACAAGTAAGAATTATTTCAATACAAATGAGCTAGATCAAAATCCCTTCCTTTCGTACCTAAGTCTATAAAAAAGGCTCCTTCAAGAAGAATCTTCTAGTAGTAGAGAGGAAGAAAAATGGAGAAAAAGAAACAAAACCCTAGTCTAACGTCATTTTTAAAGTACCATCTTCCATCTCACAAAAGTAATGGGGTAAAGAGCAAAAAGAATTTTTTAAAAATGACCAGTAAATTGCTGTTACTTCTTTCTGGTTGTTTTGCTTTTTCATTGAGACAAGGTTCTGCAAGGCTGCCTATGCTGCCTGGCTGTTCTACATTTTTCTTTGCCTTTGTTTCTCTTTTATAGCCTTTAATTATTTGTAAGACAGGGTCTCAAGTAGCCCAGGCTGGCTTCAAACTTGTTAAAAAGCTAGGATAATCCTGAACTCCTGATATTTCTGCTTCTACCTCTCGAGTTCTAGGATTACAGGTGAGTGCCACCACTCCTAGCTTATGCAGTATGAGGGTCTACCCAGGACTCTGTCCACATTAGGCAGGCATTCTCCGAACTGCTTTACATCCTCAGGGTGTCTTAAGACAGGCTCTCTTCCTAGATAGCCTGGAATGCATTGTGTATACCAGGCTGTCCTCACATGTACTTCATCCTTCTAGCACTGCCTCCTTAGGGCTGGGAATACCATTGTGTACCACTATGCCTAGCTGGTTGTACCACATAGTTCTGTTTAATTAATCTACAAAATGAAAACTGTTGATGAAATAATTATATAAAAAAACTGCAAGCAAGCCGGGCAATGGTGGCACACGCCTTTAATCCCAGCACTCGGGAGGCAGAGGCGGGCGGATCTCTGTGAGTTCGAGACCAGCCTGGTCTACAGAGCTAGTTCCAGGACAGGCTCCAAAGCCACAGAGAAACCCTGTCTCGAAAAAAAAAAAAAAAAAAAAAACTGCAAGCAACTAGCAAGAGCCATTTTTCATACAATGGATTTACTAATTTCAATAAAAACAATATGATATTTTAAATGATTTTGACAATGACACTATTACTTTATAAATACTTTTTAGAATGGTGTTTTATTTTACTAATTAGGTTAAAATGAAAAATTTTCAACAAACAAAAATAATGCACTTCTGAGTTTAAATGTCACAACCTTGGAACAAAAGCTGCCTGAAATATAAAGAGAAGTGAGCTATAAATCAAAAGTTATAAGATGGGCAATGGTGGCACATGCCTTTAATCCCAGCACTCGGGAGGCAGAGATAGGCAGATCTCTGTGAGTTTAAGATGAGCTTGGACTACAGAGCAAGTTCCAGGATAGCCAGAGCTATACAGAGAAACACTGTCTTAAAAAAATTGAAAGTTATTTTAAAAATATTTAGACCTTGTAGGAGATCAACTAGCCAAAGTATTTTCAACTTGTGTATCATGTGTGCCTCAGAAACTGTCTCGAGAGGTAAGAAAGAAGCCCAGCACTGGCTCTACATCTATATTTTATGTATTCAGACTGTATGTAAGATGTCTTTAAGAAAAAAGTGTTAAATAAGAGGTTAAAAATCCAATATAATCACCTGCTTCCAAAGTTATAGATAAGGAAACAGTGGACCTATTCAGAGTTTCACAATCAGAGATCACATTAAAAAGGATTAAGCCTAAAGCATTTTAATTTCCCAATTTATTATTATTTCTATTACATAATGCACCATCTACTTCTCAATAAATATTAGTCAAATAGTAAAGTCAAGATAAAGTAGTAAATAAAAGCTTATTGGATATGAATTTGGGGGGGCGGTTTCAGACAGGGTTTCTCTGTGTAGCCCTGTGTTGCTCTGTAGACCAGGCCAGCCACAAATTCAACAATATTCATAATTATATACATGTTAAAATAAACTCAACCAATGTTCAAGTAATTAGGCATTTTAGAAGGCTATTACTGGGCTTATATCCATTATGCTTACTCTAACATTAAAGACACAACTTTACTTCCAAAGCAGAGCATAAAGCAGAACTATATGCTATTATTACATACTCCATTCCATTCACTTAAGCCAAAGGGGGGGGAATCAGTAAATAAATTTTGTCTTAAAACATATACAAAATAAGTATAATATATATTAGAAATGCATATTTATAAAATGAGTATTTATCCTTAACTAATGATGGTCAACACATATTACATACACTGTTAAACTACACTTATATAGGCGGAAGTTGGAGGAAAAAGAAATGAATAAAAACAAATTGTGCAAACGAGGTTTATAAACCTAACCAAATGGCAACACTGAGACTTTAGGTAGACTTTACTAATTATAAAAGTAAATTTTAGGTTCAAATTATATTCTCACAGTAATAGAGAAAACTAAAGTAACACTGGAAGAATGACTGTCATTGCATGAAAAAAATATTGTAAAAGGGCAAAAATCTAAATACTATTAAAGAGAAACAACAGAAATAAGCTCATGAATAATATCCTTACAATTTTCTTTTTTAAAATATTTATTTATTATGTATACAATATTCTGTCTGTGTGTATGCCTGAAGGCAGAAGAGGGCACCAGACCCCATTACAGATGGTTGTGAGCCACCATGTGGTTGCTGGGAATTGAACTCAGGACCTTTGGAAGAGCAGGCAATGCTCTTAACCTCTGAGCCATTTCTCCAGCCCCCTTACAATTTTCTTTAAAAAAAAAACACACACACACACAAAACTAAATCTGGGCATGGTGGCTCACACCTATAATCCCAGAACTAGAAAGACTGAGTCCTGAAATATATGAAGAGCTCAAGGCCAGAGTAGCTTCATAGTGAAACTCTGTCTTAAAAAATTAAAATAAAAAGCCTAAACCAAAACAAACAACAAGCAACAAAACAAACCTAAATTATAAAAAAATGCTATAGAAAAATAAGAATTATCTTTATAAGAAAATTAAATAGTTAAAAATATGCAAATTAACTACAACACTGTAAGTCAAATATACCTCGTTTTTTTGCTTCAGCCACCATCTCATCATACTCTTGCCGGTGACGTAAAGCTTCCTCCACAGACTTTGCAGGAAGATTCCTGTTTTTAAAAAAAAAAAAAAAAAAGCCAAAATTTAAACAACTTTTAAATTTACTACCTTTCTAGAAGCAGATATAAACATTGCTAACTTAATGTTACTTTCACAGAAAATGTAAATGAGCGGACACGGTGCAGAGCTGAAAAGGCTTTCTGTGAGGTCAGCCTGTCTACCCTGCCTCAACAAAGAAAAGGTAAATGAAAGGCAGAAAGGAATTCCACATTTCAAAACAAACTTGGAATTCAGATCCCTGATATTTATGATAAAGACATTTATAGTTGTGTTTATGTATGTAAGCATACATTTATTTTTAAGAATGATTTATTTTATGTATATATGTGAACCTGAGTTTACCTATTTCTGTCCCAGATGCAGATACTTGCCAGAGCCAGAAGTTGTTGGATCCCCTGAAACTGGGTTAAGGATGGCTGTGAGCTACCCATGTGGGTGCTGGGACCTGAACCTGGGTTCTCTGAAAGAACAGTAAATGCTCTAATCACTTACCTCTCAGCCCATATTTATTTATTTTTTAAAAAATTGTATTGTGGCAGGTGGTGGTGGCTTACGCCTTTAATCCCAGCACTCGGGAGGCAGAGGCTGGCGGATCTCTGTGAGTGCGAGGTCAGCCCTGTCTACAAGAGCTAGTTCCAGGACAGGCACCAAAGCTACAGAGAAAGCTTATCTCTAAAAACAAACAAAAAAAATTGTATTGCATTTATTTGTGTGTGGGTGGTGCCGTGTATGGAGATCAAAGAGCAACTCGCAGGAGCTGCTTCTTGTCTTCTACTATTTGGTTCCCAGAGTCAGAATTCAAGTTCTTAAACATCATAGTTTTATACAAGCCATCTGGTTGACTCACGTTTAGATATTTAAACATTTCAGATCTTAGGCAGTGTGTTCAGGTTATTCATTACACCCACTCCTAGATTTGTTGGGTTTTTTAAAAATTTTTTATTGATATTTATTGAGCTCTACATTTTTCTCTGCTTCCCTCCCTGCCTCTTCCCTTCCCCCTTCAACCCACACGCAAGGTCCCCATTCTACCAGTTTACTCAGGAGATCTTGTCTTTTTCTGCTTTCTACTTCCCATGTAGACTAGATCTATGTAAGTCTCTCTTAGTGTCCATATTGTTGTCTGAGTTCTCTGGGATTGTGGTTTGTAGCCTGGCTTTCTTTGCTTTATGTTTAAAAACCACCTATGAGTGAGTACATGTGATAATTGTCTTTCTGTGTCTGGGTTACCTCACTCAATGATGTTTTCCAGCTCCATCCATTTGCCTGCAAAATTCAAGATGTTGTTATTTTTTTCTGCTTTGTAGTACTCCATTGTGTAAATGTACCACATTTTTCTTATCCATTCTTTGGTAGAGGGGCATTTAGGTTGTTCTGGCTATGGCTATGAACATAGTTGAGCAAATGTGCTTGTGGCACGATTGAGCATCTTTGGATATTTACCCAAAAGTGGTATTACTGAGTCTTGAGGAAGGTTGTTTCCTAATTTTCTGAGAAATGGCCACACTGACATCCAAAGAGGCTGTACCAGCTTGCATTCCTGCCAGCAATGCAGAAGTGTTCCCTTTTCCCCACAACCTCTCCAGCATAAGCTGTCATCAGTGTTTTTGATCTTGGCCATTCTTAAGGGTGTAAGATAGAATCTTAGAGTTGTTTTGATTTGCATTTCTCTGATGACTAAGGATGTTGAACATTTCCTTAAAGTGTCTTTCAGCCATTTTAGATTCCTCTGTTGAGAGTTCTCTGTTGAGGCCTGTACTTCATTTTTTTAATTGGATTATGTGTTCTTTTGGTGTCCAATTTCTTGAGTTCTTTGTATATTTTGGAGATCAGACCTCTGTCTGATGTGGGGTTAGTGAAGATCTTTTCCCATTCTTTAGGCTGTTGTTTTGTCTTGTTGACTGTGTCCTTTGCTTTACAGAAGCTTTTCAGTTTCAGGAGGTCCCATTTATTAATTGTTTCTCTCAATGTCTGTTCCGCTGGGGTTCTATTTAGAAAGTGGTTCCCTGTGCCAATACATTCAAGTGTACTTCCCACTTTCTCTTCTATGAGGTTCAATATGGTTGGTTTTATGTTGAGGTCTTTGATCCATTTGGACTTGAGTTTTGTGCATGGTGACTGATAAGGATCTATTTTCATTCTTCTACATGTTGATATCCAGTTATGCCAGCACCACTTGTTAAGTATGCTTTCTTTTTTCCATTTGATATTTTTTGCTTTCTTGTCAAAGATCAGGTGTTCAAAGATGTTTGGATTGATATCCGTGTCTTCTATTTGGTTCCATTGGTCCTCCTGTCTGTTCTTATGCCAACACCAGGCTGTTTTCAGTACTGTAGCTCTGTAGTAGAGTTTGAAGTCAGGGATTGTGATACCTCCAGAAGTTCTTTTATTTAACAGGATTGTTTTGGCTATCCTGGGTTTTTTGCTTTTCCATATGACGTTGAGTACCATTCTTTCAAGGTCTTTGAAGAATTTTGCTGGGATTTTGATGGACATTGCATTGAATCTGTGACTTGCTGTTTTTCATAAACCCTTTTGACATACAACTAAAAAATTATATACATTTTAAAAATAGTTTGACAAGAGGTAGGGTGCAGGGGCTGAAGAGTAAGAGCACTGCCTTCCTGAGTTAATTCCCAGCAACCACAAGGTGGCTCACAATAATCTAGAATGAGATCTGGTGCCCTCTTGTGGCCTGTAGGCATTCATGCATGTAGAACACTATATATAATAAATAATAATTAAAAAACAAAAGAGGTAGGGCACAGTGACTCATGCTTATAATGCTAGCACTTGGGAGGCTGAAACAGGAAGACTGTCGTGAATCTGAGGCCAGTCTGGGCTATATAGCAAGTTCCTAACCAACTTGAACTATAGTGTGATACCCTGTCTCTAAAAGAAAAATGAAAACTTATTTCTAAAATAATAGCACAAGCCAGGTGCATATTGCTTTATTAACTTTTAATTTTCTAAATGCTAATGAGGAAAGAACAACAGCTGCAGAGAGACATAGGATAGTAGAAAAAACTATGGAATTAAATCGGCCTAATTTTTTGTTCTCTCTTCTATAGCTGTTCTATTATCCAGAGCAGTATGGTTTCTTACAAAGCATTAGGTTCTGGGAAGGACTGTTCATTGCTCTGGGAAGGATTTTCCTCTATGATGACAGGAAACAACTGAACAGGACTTGGCATGGAGCCTACAAGAGGCCCCTCATGGAGTTTCCCAAAGGCAAAGGATTATCTTGAATATTCCTCAGTGACCTACAATCATTAGTCCAATGCCTACCTTTGCCACACCTTCCACCTAATCCAGAAAGGAGGGGCATTCTGAGTGGATTATGCTTAGAGAAAACACTGTTTCTAGGAGCACCCTTTTTACAATCCCCTTTAAGGTGACCTTGTTTGCCACAATTGAAACATTTGACATTTAGATTTTTCTTCAAACTTCTGGAAATCACTTCTCCTATCCAAGTAACATCACTGTCATAATATCCAATATTAATGGTATCTCGGCTCCATTCCTTCAAAGGTCCTGACCTTGCCTTTAATGGCCTAATTATCCTTTTGCATTGAGAATTGGCATTTTCAAAAGCCAGAGATTCAATTATAATTTGTCTAGCTTCTGAATTTGGTTTAATTCAATTTACTGCTGAAGTCAATCTTTATAAGAAATCCTTTGAGCCCTGCATAACTTTACTTAAATGACTCAATTTTCTTTCCTATTTCTTCAGTTCTGTCCCAACCATTCAAAGCTGCTGCATGGCATAAATCCAGGGTGTGGTCATTATACACAGCTTGCCTTTCTATAATAGCATAATCTCCTTCCCCAAGAATTTGATCTTGGGAAATTTCCCAACCTCTAGCTTTACTCCGTTGTGCATTAATCTTGGCCTCTTCTCTGAACCAGGTACTCCATTGTAATTGTGAACCAGGCTCTGAAACAACTTTAACCAATTCTATCCAGTCATTAGGGATAATTCTATTACAAACTGACCATTTGCTTCACAAAAGCGAAGGCCTTGAACCGAGAGAGACTAACCTGCCTCTGCCTGAGTGCCACCATGCTCAGCAATCTTTGACATTTTGAAGACAAGAGCTTCAGTACCACAACTACTAGACAACTGTATGCTATATAGTAAATAAAGAACAACAACAAAAAAAACAGATTAGGGTGTTTTTTTTCTTTCTAAAAACTCACTAATTTTTACATCTGTCTGAAGAAGTAAATAAAGGGGAGGGGTGCTGAGGCAGTAGCTGAGAGCTATATCCTAGACCACAGGAAGAGAGAGAGATTGAGACTGACTGGGCCTGGCATAGACTTTTGAAAGATCAGAGTCCCTACCCAATGACACACTTCCTCCAACAAGGCCACACCTATATGAGGAGAGTGGTTTGAATGAGAATGGCCCTATAGGCTCATATATTTGAATGCCTGGTCATTAGGAAGTGGGACTATTTGAGAGGGATTAGGAGGTAAGACCTTGCCGGAGGAAGTGTGGCCTTGTTGGAGGAAGTGTGTCACTGGAAGTGGGGGTGGCAGGGAGGGTGCTTCTGGTTTCAAAAGCCCAAACCAGTTCCAATGTTTCTTCCTGCTGCCTGTGGATCCAGATACAGAGCTCTTGACTTCTCTTCCACACTCTGTCTGCCTGTCTGCTGCCGCGCTCCCTCCTAATGATGACAATGGGCTAAACCTGACGGGGGCAGTGGTAACAAGCCTTTAATCCCAGTGCTCAAGAGGAGAGGCAGGCTAACCTCTGAGTTAGAGGCCAGCCTGTTCTAGGACAGTCAAGGCTAAACAGAGAAACCCTGTCTCGACAAAAACAAACAAAAAACAACAACAAAAGAAAATGGATTAAGCCTCTGAAACTGTAAGCAAGCCCCAGTTAAATGCTTTCTTTTATAAGAGCTGCCCTGGTCATGGTGTCTCTTCACAGCAATAGAACACTAATTAAGACAATGAGACTCTGGGGTCCATTCTTGTCCATATA